TTCTACTACCAGTCCTTCATCACCTTACACGAAATAGGGTGAATACATCTCATTCTATCCCTCTTAACACCGCCTTCGGCAACCATGTTGTCTGGAAATCCAGCTTTTTTTGCTACAAATTACACTTTGCGGACTCTCGGTTACAACACTGAGGGCGACCAATAGGACTTGTGGCTGACAAAGTGGGAGCTGGTTTTTGTGAGGGAGGGGGGCTCGCGATTCTACATACTCGAGGTGTGTATTGTAAGGCTGTCGACGACGACGACGGGTATTATGAGGAAGGGTAGACCAGTGACGCTTTGATTGCCTCGTTTGTAAAACTGTCGTTCTGGATGGTACCGTTTTAGTGACAGTTGACGCCTGTCGTTTAAGTCGGTTTTCGAGACTGTCAGTGGACCATTGATGCATGAAGGGTCGCCGTACCTCCTCAGACCAAATGGGCTGAATGCACCACATACATTCGGTTGACTTGCTCGCGCCAACAGAACAGACCAGTTTGACTCTGCCAGGCTTTGATGACCGTGTCGGTGTGCTTCTTTTCAGCTCATCGCTGCCATGATCAACCCCGGCGGCGGCAGGAACGACATCCCGGCCCGTCTGAAGAGGCACTTTTGCGTCTTCAACTGCACCCTGCCCAGCAACCAGTCCGTGGACCACATCTTCGGCGGCATCGCGCTCGGCCACTTCTGCGCCGAGCGCGGCTTTTCGACCGACCTCATTCAAGTCGTCGAGCATTTGGTGGCGGCAACTCGACTTGTCTGGCAAGCGGTCAAGGCTCGGATGCTACCGACACCGGCCAAGTTCCATTACATCTTCAACCTGCGCGACCTCAGCCGCATTTGGCAGGGCATGCTGAGTGCCAACAAAGAGGTGGAGAATGCATTGTTTGTTTGTTGTTTTTTTTCACTCTGTCTCTGACTATTTTCATATTTTGCATTTATTTGTAGAGTTTTGAGGCTACTCTACAATTTGTGTTAGATTAGAATAAAAAAGAATAGAATAGAAATGTATTAAATTTAAAAGAATTAAATAGAATAAAAAAGAATAGAATAGAATAGAATAGAATAGAATAGAATAGAATAGAATAGAATAGAATAG